TTCTATATTATTATTATTACTATTATTATTATTAATGATAATAATAATAATAATAATCATTATTATTTTTACTACTAGCTTACCCGTGCCGTCAAAATTGAATGTACTATACTTATATTTTCATTTAATCCAAGTACAACTTTGTAATTTAAAATAGTTCTTTGTTAACGTTAATAATTGAAGAGTGTACAATTTATAAACACCTAACGAAAGATATCCGTATATTCTCTTCATAAATGTTATATATTTGCAACCAAAATTATGTTTACTGCAAAAGTTCCCAAAGCGGAATATTTTTTGTGTAATCTTTGAATGGTTTGAGTAACACATGAAAGTCCGTAGATTTAATCCGTAATTTCAAAGTCTGCTTATTTCTCGTCCTACTAAGAGCAACGAATCACCCGATATATTTTTAAAAATTTATTTTTTGCTCAGCACCTCTTTTTTCAATAATAATTTAAGTTTAAAACGAACTTCTGAAAATGAACAAAGCGTTCTTGAAAATATATGTGGCGTATTATATATACGAACACTCTTCAATAGCGACATCAGTACGTGTCTACGGGACCAAGTTAGCACGGCATTGGGTGTCATCGCTATTTTGCACACTTCTTTTTAATTGTTGCACACACAAAAAACGTATATATATATATATATATATATATATATATATATATATATATATATATATATATACAATGGCCTAATAAAAGTTTTTAGTGAGGAGAAATAAATTACATCCAATTTCAAAATTTTTTACGTAATCCCAACTCAACATAAATAAACAGTATTTGAAACTAGTATGGACTAGGTCATCCATTTGCTAATTTTAGTACTTTTATTCGATTTTTCAAGGATTTGATCATATTATCAACAATCGTCTGAGTTGTTTTTTGCCACTCCTTTAGCAATGTTTCTTTAAGGGTTGCCACTGATGTGATTTTGGTTGCACGTTCTTGAGGTTTTCGGTCAAGGTGCTCCCAAACGTGTTGTATTGGATTCATGTCAGGACTTTGGGCTACCCATGGCAGTGACTTGATTCTTTACGATTCCTTCCAGGTTTTTGCTGCTTTGCTCGTATGACATGGCGCTACACCTTCTTGAAAAAGGTAGAGATTCTTGTCAATCTGATCGGTTTCAAATAGTGAGAGTAGTCCTTTCTCTAATATTCAACAGTATTTTGGACCATTAAACTGCTTGTCAACAAGAATCAGCTCAGATTTTCCTCCAAACCAGACAGCACCGCACACTATTACTCCAATCCCTCCATGTTTCACGGTCACTTGCAGACATTCAGTGTTCCAAGTCTTATTCTGATTTCTCCAAATATAAACCAATCTCAAATTCGAATATTGGTAGAATTTACTTTCATCTAACCAAATTACAGACTGCCAAATTTCATAATCTTTGCTCTCGAATTCTCTCGCCCAGTCCATACGCCTGTTCCTGTTAACCTCTGAAATCAAGGGCTTCTTTCTTGCAACTCTTCTTTCATAGCCTAATTCTTTCGGAGTCTTTCTCACTGCATATGACGATATTTCCATGCTTTTGGCGACATCTTTGACGCCCTGATGACGGATTCTGATGACTTCTCTCTTCAACGTTCTTTTCGTTCACTCAGACACGATGCTTGGTTTTCCTGAACATTGTTCCATACGACAATGGCCTTCTTCATTAAATTTCTTGACAATATTATTAACCGTTTGATGATTAACCTGGAAAAACCTAACAATTTCTCTATTTGACTTGCCACACTGATGCCATCCTAATATTTGCCCTTGTTGAAATTCACCAACTTCCATTGCAAAATATAAGTCAACTATCGTTCATAGATGAGAGGAATTTGATACTAACATGGTATTATCTGAAAAAAAAGAAGAGACATGATTATACAAGCCAAAATTGCTGTAATCAAGAGTGCCTAAAAATTTATCATACCCCACTGTATGTGGTGTATTTTATACATATATATATATATATTATTCATATACTATCATATATTAATATTGATCAATGCCCAAAAAAAAAACTTTGATCAGTTTATACATAATTTGGTTAAAAAACAATTCTATTGTGAAATAATTGACTTATATAATAAAAATATGGCATAATCAAAAAGAATCTTTCGTATTTCGACACAAGGAACCAAATTAATGCACCCAGCAAATGGTACGAACTCTCAGAGCGTGTTGTTCAAAGTTGACGGATAATGTTAAATTAGGACTAAGAAAGATATGATTATAGTGAAAATTACGTAAAAAGTAAAGAAATAAAGCCAGAACGAGTTAACAGAGGGAAGCATGCAAGCGAGAGGGGGGAAGAAAGAAAAAGAATACGAAAAAGAAAGAAGGAAAGAAAGAAAATGAAAGTGAAAAAAAGCACAAATAGCAGATAGGAAGAAGGAGGTAAAGGAAGAAGATAATTACAAGGAAAAAAGAGAGAAGGAAAGAAATAAAGAGAGAAAGAAAGAAAGAAAGAAAGAAAGAAAAAAGGAAAGGAAGAAAGAAAGATAATTAAAGGGAAAGAAGAGAGAAGGAAGGAAAGAAAAAGAAAGAAAGAAATAAAGAAAGAAGGAAAGGAAGAAAGAAAGATAATTAAAGAGAAAAGAGAGAGAAGGAAGGAAAGAAAAGAGAGAAAGAAAAAAGGAAAGGAAGAAAGAAAAACAAAGGAAAAAAAGAAAAAAGAACAGATTATAAAAAATATAAATACCTAATAGAGAGAAAAACGGAAGAAAGAAATGATGTAAGGAGGACGGAAAGAAAAAAGAAAGAAATATAAAACGAGCGAGAAGGAACAAAAGAAAGCAAATACGTAAAAGAGAGAAAGAATGAATGAAGAAAAAGAGAAAGATAGAAAGAAAGAACTAAGGAAAGAAAGAAAAAGAAATAAAGAACAGATTGTAGAGAATAGAAATACTTAAAAGAAAGAAAGAAAGAAAGAAAGAAAGAAAGAAAGAAAGAAAGAAAGAAAAAGAAACAAATGAAAGCAGAGGAGACAAATCAGTAAAAGCAAAAGAAAAGAAGGAAGAAAAAAGTGAAAAAGAAACAAAAGGACAAAAACGAATGGAAAAGAAAGAAACCATAAAGAGAAAGAACAAACAGGAAATAAATAAAGAAAGAAAGAAAGAAAAAGGAAAATGAAAGTAAAGCAGTGAAGGGTTATCAGAGAATATTAACCCTATGAAGACAAATTGGGAGTATTAGAAATAGGAAAAAATAAATTTAAATTTAAAATTAAAAATGAATAATACGTGAAAGAAAGAAAGAAAAAAGAAAGGAGATAGAAAGGGAAAAGGAAGCATGAGGACACAGAAAGAAAGAAAGAAAGAAAGAAAGAAAGAAAGAAAGAAAGAAAGAAAGAAAGAAAGGTAAAATCAACAATTGGACAAAGCAAGAAAGGAAGAAAGAAAGAATGAAAGACAAAAGAACGAAAAAGGAAACAAGGGACACGGAAAGAAAGAAAAAGAAAGAAAGAAAGAAAGAAAGAAAGAAAGAAAGAAAGACAAACAGAAAGAAAAACAGAAAGGAAGGAAATAGAAACAAGGGACAAAGAAAGAAAGAAAGAAAGAAAGACAAACAGAAAGAAAAACAGAAAGGAAGGAAATAGAAACAAGGGACAAAGAAAGAAAGAAAGAAAGAAAGAAAGACAAACAGAAAGAAAAACAGAAAGGAAGGAAATAGAAACAAGGGACAAAGAAAGAAAGAAAGAAAGACAAACAGAAAGAAAAACAGAAAGGAAGGAAATAGAAACAAGGGACAAAGAAAGAAAGAAAGAAAGAAAGACAAACAGAAAGAAAAACAGAAAGGAAGGAAGAAAGACCGGAAAAAGAAATAAGGGGATACCGAAAGATAGGACAAAAGAAAGAGAAGAAAAAGAAACAAGATGACGCAGAAGAAAAGAAAGGAAAAAAGAAGGGAAAATAAAAGAAAGAAAGAAAGAAAGAATAAAGAAAGATCGAAATGCCTGGGGATGATGATGTACGAAATTCCCCGAAATCAAGTCAGTTTTGTTTTCTCTCGACTTATCTGCTGATAATTTGATCGCCATTTTGTCACGAAGTCTGAAGTATGTTTTACAAACTCAATTACAAACTGGCAAAGGCCACGAGCAAAGAATACGGCGCATCTGATTGGAAACACCGCTGTCGAAGTGCGCAGCATTTTCATTCAATCACCCTGACACCCCCTTTCTTTCGTTTAGATAAATCATTTTGGTGTTGCTGGTTCGGATCCACTCTTAGAAGAAGAGTCTTAATTAATTGAGGTTCAAGTTTAGCAACAACAGACCTTGGTATCGAAGAAAGGAAAAAAAGATAAGAAGAATGAAAGAAAAAGACGGGGTAGTTATGGAAAAGAGAGAGATAGAGTAAGGAAGAAAAAGAAAGAGAGAGAGGGGAGAATAGAGGAAGCGTAAAAATACAGAGGATCACGGATGTTAACAGAAAATAGATGCAGGGGTGAAAAAGGAAGCGAATAATAGGGGAAGGGGAAAGAAAGAATAGGTTAATGAGAGAGAAAAAGAGAGAAAGAAGGATAAAAAGAGGAAAGAGTGAGTGGTAAAAAGGTCGAGTGAGGAAGAAAAAGAGAAAAATAATTAGTACGGAGAGGTTTGAAAGGGAGAGAGACATAGAAAAAAGTGAGATAGGCGAACAAAGAAAGAAAGAAAAAAGAAAGAAAGACAGAAAAAACAGGAGAAAAATTATGCAAGAAGGAGAAGCAGGGAGAAAGGGAAAAAGAGACAAAAAGGGAGAGAGAGAGAGAGAGACATAAAACGAAATGTGACAAAGAAGGGGAATGAAATAAGAAAGTGTGTGAGCGAAACAGAGAAAGAAAGAAAGAAAGATAGAAAGAAAAGAGAAAGAGAGAAGAACAAGAGAAAAAAGAGAGAGGAAAACATTATGAGAAAGGGAAGCAACAGAGGGAGAAAGTTAAAGAGAGACGGAAAGAGGAAGAGAGGAAAGGCGAAAAAGTGATAAAGAAAAAGTGTGAGAGAAACAGAAATTAAAGAAGAAAGAAAGAAAAGAAAAGAAAGAAAGAAAGAAAGAAAAGAAAGAAAGAAAGAAAGAGTGACGGAAAAGAAAGAATTGGTGAAAGAGAAAAAAGGGGAATAAGAAGAGCAAAGAGAAAAAGTGGAATGAGAGAGATAGAAAGAGCGAGAGAAAGCGTAAAGAAGAGAAGAGATAGAAAGATCGATGAGCAGAGAGAGAGAGAGAGAGAGAGAGAGAGAGAGAAAGAGAGAGAGGAGGAGGTAGTTTTTACATTTTTCATGTCAAAATTATTCCATCCCATGACCGCAGCAAAATAAATTGATCGACTCAGAAAAAAAAAACAAAAAAAAACAAACTAAAAAACAAAAACGAAAGACAACCTAAAAGGCCTAAAAGTAACAAATTTCAATTCGATGTATGGCTTTTTGTCATTGTCTTCCCAAAATAAGTTCCATTTATCTATAAAGTTCGATACGCCTCTGAAAGCTATTCGTAAGGGTTTAGTTCAAGTCAAACATGAGACACGATTCTTGAAGAAGCCGAACACTCTTTGTTTCCACAACCAAATCTTATTGATTTTTTTAGATTAATACAGATGCCTTTTAGACAGATTCTTCCTCACTTACGAAACAGAAAAGTGCTATGGCCTCCATATTCTAACTACGTGAGGTCCATTATTCGATATAAACAGAAGCCCCGATATGCCCAAACTGTAATTATATTCCTGTTGTATACGAGGGTGGGGCTGAAAACGTCATAAGCTAACTCTGAAGGAATGCTACTAGAGCTGTAAAATTGTGTATGCGTTAATTTTAACGCTTCTTATTAATAACTACATTGTTTCATCCCAGGTAAATTGGCATCTGACTATTTGAAAAAGACTGTTCATCGTGTTTAATCAAACAAGTCATTTACAGCAGATATGACGCAATACTGGTTGCCAGCCAAGTGTTTTTTCATGTTGGGGAACAGATGATAGTCAAATCATGAGAACAGGGTAGATGAACAATCAGTTCAAAGCTGCAGTTACGCACAGCAGCCATTGAAATCAAGGACGTGCTGTAAAATTGCCCTGATGAAACAATTTCCGAATAATTTGTTTTATACAATTAAGTTGATAAACGGCAACAACACCAAGTCCGTCCAGGAACTTGTTTACCTCAGCAGCAACATTCAGTCAACGGAGAGAGGCGTCAAAGTCCACAAAGGAAAGGCCTGGGGTATCCAAATGGTCTGTACACCATCTGGAAGTCCTAACACTCAAGAGGGACTTCTTTAAAGCCACGGTAGAATCTGTCTTGCTATACGGCTAAACAACATGGACACTGACGAAACGCTAAAAAGCGTCAGTTGATGGAACATACATAAAGATGTTACGAGTTGCATTGGACATCAGCTGGAAGAAACATCCAACAAAGAAACGCCTGTACGGACACCTTTTTCCTATCTCAGTTTCGCTAAGGGAGGGAAGACTTCGGCTAGATGGTCACTCCTGAAGAAGTAAGAACTTGTGAGTAACACATTGCTATGGAACTCATTACGCGACAAAAGATCGGTTGGAAGACCTCATGACACCTACATTTACCAACTTGTAGAAGACTCTGGATGCCATCTTGAGGACCTGCTGACAGCGATGTCTAACAGAGATGACTGGAGGGAACGAGTCAGGTCAATCCGTGAACAATTTTCGACTTAATGATGATACAATCAGTAAACTTTCCAATGATCATTTTTGTTTTTGTTTTTTCTCGGGTACTTTGCAATATTTTTACATTCGTTTTTTTTATCTGTTTATGAGGTATTTTTTGCTTGTTTCCGCCGTTCACTTGTTTCCTTTCTTTTATGTGTCGTGTCCCTTCAGGATGTAGGTGATCAAGACCCTCCACATCTTCCCGTCTCTTGTAGCTCTTAATAAGTTTTCTCTTTTTGCTATTTCACCCCAAAGCTGTTCTACTTAAGTTCATCAAATATGTTACATGCTGCTTTCTTCTGTCCGTCTTTCCCTCAATCTGTCCTGTGAGTATCAGATTTTCCAAGCCTTCCTTCCTCATTCCGTGCTACAGATATTTTAACTGTCTCTTCCTGACGTTAGGTATATTTTCTTTTTGTTTTCATTGCTCACATATTCGGCCGTGGTATCCTCAGCATCCTTGTGTAGAACCGAATTTCTGTTGCTTTAAGCCTCTTTTTCATCTTTGAGGAGATTGTCCAGCATTCGCTGCCATACAGGAGGACAGATATCATGTACCATTTTCTTTTTTCCAACGAAATTTTCCTGTATCTTAATGCTTTGCTTAGCTTCTGGAATACATCTTTGGTCATCCCAGTATGTCTTTGAATCTCAGTGTCGTATTTTCCGTCCTCTGGTGGAACATTTCCTACATATATAAATGTTTGAGTTTAGTATTCCTGATTTGTAATTAGTGTTTTGGGTTCATCGCTGATTCTTAATCAACCAAGGCGACGTTATTTACGACGTTCAAGCTGATTTTTTTTACGGCATTTCCTTAACATACACTTTAACATACAATCTGCTACAGAAAAAAATACACTATTTAATGTTGGCTGCTTCCCTTACATTGCAGTGGCTTCCAGAATTTAAAGTCTATCTCTGCATTGAGTTCTATATATTTTGGTGTCAGAAAGTAGACGTTAACTGAAAGGAAGTGACATTGGAAGCTAAAGGGTCAAACTAAAATTTAACTTGCCGAAAATACCTATTGCAGAGGTCACACTTTTCAATGTTTAAGTCAGAGGATAGGCGCCATAATGGAGTCTGGGTGGGTAATAACTGTCTATCTTAAAAGGGGAGAACGTGTATGAAATAATATCAGAGAATATTAACCCTATGAAGACAAATTGGGAGTATTAGAAATAGGAAAAAATAAATTTAAATTTAAAATTAAAAATGAATTTTAAAATAAATTTAAAAAAATGTATAAGGTAACGAGGACTTAAGGAGAATTAAGAGAATATTAAAAGTAGAGGAAAATTTATAAAGTATAATTAACATAGCATAAAAAGGTTTTAGAGGAAGTGGGGGAGGGATTTAAGTTAGATTAAAATTACATTATAGAAATTTGAATTTGTTTTTATGTCGACATTTAAAGGGTTAGAGGTAGCTAATTAAGGCGATTTAGGGTTGTTAATTAAAGCGAAAATTATAGAGTGTGTTTGAATAACTTGTACCGATTTTAATGTGAATTAAGTTTAAGCGTCTAATGATTTTTCCTTTTTCTTTCAGTTTTGGTGGACATTTAGGTGATATTATTTTTCACACATAATTGCCATGACTTAAATAACATTATCCAATAAAGAAATAAAAAAATTTTCACCAATAACACTGATTTATTTACTGCTGATTCTGATCCATCTTAATGAAACACCCTTATATATAATCCGTCTTAATGAAACACCCTATATTATGGAAATTTGAATTTGTATCGATCGTTGGGATAGTGTATTCGCCACATGAGGTAAAAAGAGATTTTTTGATTATTCATCATATATATATATATATATATATATATATATATATATATATATATGTGTGTGTATGTGTGTGTGTGTGTGTGTGTGTGTGTGTGTGAATGGAGTGATAGCCGAAAAAGATGAGAAAAAACGAGAAGAAAACATTATTGAAAGATAGATCAACAGCGAGAAAGTGAGAGAGAAAAATTAAAAAGAGTGTAAGGAGAAGACAGTGAAACAAACAGAAACGTGAAAAGAAAGAAAGAAAGAAAGAAAGAAAGAAAGAGCAAGAGAAAGAGAGAAAAGAAAGAAAGAAAGAAAGAAAGAAAGAAAGAAAGAAAGAAAGAAAGAGGGAGCAAGAGAAAGGGAGAAAAGAAAGAAAGAAAGAAAGAAAGAAAGAAAGAAAGAAAGAAAGAAAGAGGGAGCAAGAGAAAGGGAGAAAGAAAGAAAGAAAGAAAGAGGGAGCAAGAGAAAGGGAGAAAAGAAAGAAATAAAGATGGAGCAAGAGAAAGGAAGAAAAGAAAGAAAGAAAGAAAAAGAAAGAAAGAAAGAGGGAGCAAGAGAAACGGAGAAAAGAAAGAAAAAAGAGGGAGCAAGAGAAAGGGAGACAAGAAAGATCGAAAGAAAGAGAGAAAAAGGAAGAGAGGGAGATAGAGAAAGAGTGAAAGAAAGAAGGAAAGAAAGAAAGCAGAAGAGAAAAGGTGAACAGGTGAAAATATAAGAGGGAGAGATAGAGAGAGAGAGAGAGAGAGAGAGAGAGAGAGGATAAGAGAGAAAGAATATGTGAGAGAGAAATAGAAATGTAGAGGTAGCGAAAGGGAACAAACAAGAGAAAGAGAGGACTGGTGAGAGAAAAAAAGAGAAGGATAAGATAAACAAAGAGAGAGAGAGAGAGAGAGAGAGAGAGATTTTATGCACATCGATACCAAATTGAGTAAGTGTAGATAGAAAAAGGAGAGCAACAAAGCAGGGTTTTCTCCTCGGGTTTGTGCAGCACGATTATTTCTAGAGAATAAGATATTTTCCCTGAATCTCTGGTCCACTGATGTCATACCTGCAATGTGTTCCATGCCGGTGATATTGTGTCGATGGCAGATGCAGTAGAAAAAATTGAAGAAAAGGATGTCGAAGAGAATCAGAAGAAAGAAATTTAATTGCAATAGGACCGAACACAATTTTGTGAGCAAAAAAGGTAACAACCCGAGTTCGGTGTTACACATCGGGGAAAGAAAGGCACTCACATAAGAATAGCGAAAATGTATTTTATTTGCAGGCTGTATCCCTTCAGAGCATAAGCGATCATGCCTCCCCACCACAAAAAATTATTTCCTCAGTTGCAATTTGATCTTTCATTATGGCCCGAGCTCGGTCCAACAATTGGTTTGCATTCATGTCTTCCATCCTGGAAGACGCGCGCAGTAGTTGCTTGACGTTCGCTGGTAACCCTGCCATGAACCCACACGCTAGTCCTTGCTCGGATATCCCGCCAAATAGACCTGCTAGCTTCTTCAAGTCAGCTAGAAACACGTCGACGGATTTGGCGTTCCACGAACTGCTCGTAAGCCAAGAAACGATCTGGTGCAAAGGCAACCCGCAGAGCTCGTTTTAGCTGCTCGACATCTGATTTTTGCTCTGAGTTTAACTGTTGGTATACAGCAAATGCCCCGCCCTTCAGAGGAAGAACACGTTCAACCTTTTTAATTCCACACCGGTCACAAACAAGTTCTGCCTTCTCAATCCATTCAGTAACTGCTTGTCCGGTCACTGACCCATCAAACTCAAATGTCTTATCCGTCATACTGCCGAAATAGCTTGTAAGCGATCTGGGATTGCAAAGGAAATATTAGTCGCAGATTACTTCCACAACGCAGAGACTAAATCACTACGTTCAGATTCGAACATCGGGGGCAGAAAGAAATGCCGAAAACTCGATTCGCGGGTACTATCTCATAAATCACAATGCACGCAACCAGTCTTAATCAACCAAGGCGATATAACTCACTCTCCGACGAACACGGTAGCCAAAATACACCAACTCCCCGATTCGAGAATACCAACTGCTTTTATCGGTCGGCCGGGCATTTTTTTTTTTCATTCGTCGACGGCTGGTAGACTTGTATAGCCACTCTTGCGACGGACTTGTTTTTTAATTTAAATATTTCGTCTTCAGCGTGTCATGCGGAATACGTACCCTTTTTTTGTAAGTAATTTTCTTTTCTGTCGTAGGATACACACAAAGTGCTGTTGCTTGGTTTGACGAGGTAAGTCGCCTTTTTCTTCGCTATACAAAGGTAGCTGCTGATGACTTACATCTGCTATATTGAGAGAATACTGGCGTAGGGCATCACAGTTTCGTATACCAGCTGCTCGACAGCGGACAAGAGAACACTCCAAAGGGTTATAGATGTTGCACAGATAATTGACACTTGCTGCATTTCTGACTTGTTCAAAGACAGTGCAGATCCAATTGTTTGATCGGTTACTTTCAAGGCAAAGTTTTAGATCTATTAGTTCATGATACAATACTGATAGCTGACACGGAAAAGAAATTATAAAACCTCCTAGCGAAGGAGGTCGAGAAGAAGGGACTAAGCATCAACTACAAGAAGACAAAATGCATGGTCATCAGTAAAATGCGATTTACAGGTCGGGGACACTAGAATCAAGCAGGTGCGGAAGTTTAAATATCTGGCAAGTGTTTTGACAGAGGACAGTAAGGGCGACGCCGAAATCCGAAGACGTATTGGGATGGCCAAGGACGCACTCCAAAAGCTGGGCAGAGTATTGTGAGACAGGAGTATTTCTTTGGTAACAAAGGAAAGAGTCCTAAGCTGTTACATGATTTCTGTCCTCCTTTACGCCAGCGAATGTTGGACGGTCTCCTCAAAGATGAAGAAGAGACGTGAGGCGACAAATGTATAGTTCTACGGTATAGTTCTAAGGGTATCAAGGATCGAGCCTTTGAGCAACGATGAGGTGTTGGAGAGTACACAAACAAGGAGGAAGCTTTTAGTTAACACCAGGAAGAGGCAGATGAAATTTCTAGGACACATAATGAGAAAGGAGGGCCTGGAGAATATGATACTCACAGGTCGAATAGAGGGACAGAGATACAAAGGGAAGCAACGCAAGATATACCTGGCGGGCTTAAGCAAGTGGATGACAGATCGTGGTCTGGGGGAGGTGGCAGAGGAACGAAACTTATTGAGAGTTTCAAGGGATAGTGAGAAGTGGAGAACCATGATCGCCTACATCCTGAAAGGACACGGCACATAAAAAGAAAAATAGTTCTAGCATAAAACGCTTGAAGCACAGCTATTATCCTTGGGCTCTGCATAAAATGAACGCTGCCGCATGCTGACAATTTTGAACGTATTTTAAACGTTATTAATTTTTTTCATTCGATGCTGTGCGTGTGTTTGCTTACATCAGTGTTGTGTGTGTGTTTTGTGCGCGCGCGTGTGTGTGTGTTGATGTACGTGAGACTTTTGCGCAATCTCATTGTGCCTTACACAATAACAACAAGAGTAAATAAACAAAAATCCCTTTATTTATTGACCGTAAATTGCCATACATTCTTGGGAAAGATAGTGGAGAGGATCCACATTATCCTCCCTCTGATCGGTTTTGAGAAGAGTAGAACTATCTTAATTTTTATTGTTCCCAGATCCAACTTGACCAAAGGTGGCATCACCTGTTAGGGTCCAAGCTATGGGTAAATAGTAACCCCACCCCCCAAAAAAACAATATGAAAGTATAAAAATAAGTTCTATAGTAAAAATACCAAAAATAGATTCTTCTATAAAACATGACCAACAATATTTATTTATAGTAAAATTACCAACAATACATGTTTATAGTTAATGTCCAATAATACCTATTTATATTAAAAGTACCAACAATATATATTTATAGTAGACTAAACAACAATATATTTCATCTGTAGTTGAAAAAATAAAATATAATAAAATAACATAAAATTGTGTTAAACTACTTAGATTTCAGCATTAAATAACCCATAGAGGTGTTGATATGCCGCTAAATTAAATCAACCAACTAACCGTTACCCTCTCCACAGTTTGAAATTCAGACTTAGATTGGTTACCATTCAAGTCTAGAGAATCCAGTCTACCCTGATATTTAACCCAGAAACGAGGGGAGGGAAGAGTTGGAGTCATACCCTTTTCAAAGGTATGTATGCGAAAGCGAGCGTTTTTTTTCCCAGAAAACTCCTTGATGCGAGCTAAGTTTGGAAACGAGTATTAGATTTCAGTTAGAATCAAAGCCAGGCTGTCATCTCAAATATTTCTCACGTTACAATGAGATGTAGATAATAAAATACATTAGAAATTATTGGAACTGTTTCGTTCTGTGATTAACAGGCAGTAACGACTGATACACGTCTCCCAGATATACAGGTGGTCAGGTAATGAAATTTCTCCGTCATAATCAGATTACAGGAAGCAGCGTAAAACATTTCTTTTTCACGTATTTGGTTTGGGTCGGAGATTAGTTTCGCTTTGATAATCGGTGTTGCCACGTTTACGAAGAAAAGTGTGAGCTCTGATGGTGTTAATGTGTGATCGACTTCAACCTAAAATGCTGAGAGGCAGGTAATCGCATTTGAGGTGTCTCTTAACAGGAGTTGACATTTGGCAGCATTTTGTTTTTAAAGTTTTGGTTTTGTCGTTTTCAGAGACGCCTTGTCAGATGAATCTTAATAGAGGAGAACGCCACGTGCGGTAATTTTAACTAAACAAAACATCTACACGCAAAAACATTAAAAAAAAGACGAAAAGAGAGATATACTGATTAGAACATTGAACTATCGATCCAAGTACGAGAAACAAGTAAAGGGGGAGAAAATGTACAAAACAGAGAGACACCACTGATAATCCCTTATTATTTGCAATGCATTTCTATAGTAAATTCGTATCTGTTATATATATATATATATATATATATATATATATATGTATGTATAATAACACTATGCTCTCAGTTACACGTGTATTAATTCCAGACCACTGACAGTCCCTTTTGTCCTCATTTACAATACATTTCTTTAGTAAATTTTTATCGATATAATACCCTTATTCTGTCAGTAATCCTTGCATTAATTCCTGACCCCTGATAATCCCTTCTTCCTCATTTCAATGCATTTCTATAGTAAATGAGTTTTTTTATTATACATATAATGACCCTATTCTGTTAGTAGCACTTAACATTAATTCCTGACCCCTAACAATCCCTCGTTTCTCATTTTCATTTAAATTCCATAGTAAATGTTTATCTATTATACATATAATAGCCTTATTCTGTAAGTAACACTTAACATTAATTCCTGACCTATGATAATCCCTTCTTTCTCATTTTCAATGAATTTATATAGTAAATGTTTAACCATTATACATATAATAGTCCTATTCTATCACTATCCGTGTTGCTAAAAATCTACAATTATCTTAAATAAATGAAAAATTAACAACGATTTCTTCCTTTCTCCAATGTGCATTCATCTTCTTTCACATGAGACAAAATGAAAAAAATCATCTTGAGTTTAAATGTTGCTATTAATGATAGGAAAACGAACAAGTAGAAAACAAGTCTAAATCCAACATTTGTCACTTTATTAAAGCTTCGTCAGAGATCAATTTAGAAATGAAAAAAATGATATTCTATTCTTTAATTGATATTTTATTTCATGTTTGAATGTAAATTTCATATATATATATATATATATATATATTATAAATTAACTGATTTAAAATATGGTTTTTTGTTACACAGTAATAACCATGTTTCAAAAATGGAAGCTAAAAACTTCAAATTTAATTATATAATTAAATTAAAAGTATTAATTCTGTTTAATCTTCAAGCGAATTTTGGAATAACTTTTTTAAAAAAAATTACTGAGTTTTAAACGCACATATAAATTCATAATTTCCTGTTTCTAAGAACACAGAGAAATACAATCATTTAGACCGGGGCTGTAGCGTGTTCATTTTTATTAACTATTATCAATTATGAGTTACGTTCGAAAAAGAGGTTAAGTTTTGGGAGGGTAGGGGTGTATTTTTCAACGAATTCTGACTTTCGTTAAATGCATGTCGTCTGAGTTTTTTTTTTAATTATTAACGATAAAAAGTTTTCTTTTCGTTAAATTGATATGATATGATATGAAAACGAACACGTAGGAAACAGATCTCAATGTAACATA